TGTAATAAAATGGTTTAAAACTTGTAACGTTTTTTAATCAATATCGATATGTTCCACAGGTGAAGTGACTTCTAATGTTGGTAATATTTAGGCTCTGCCATGCGATACTGTAAATATCCGAACATGAATACGAATTCAATCAGGTGGTCGAATTTACTTCAAAAGCGGCATCCTTCACCCTTGGAAACCGGTTTATTTTTCGAACCGGTTTACTAAAAATACTGTTTTCTTCATTACCGGTTTTAATATGACTCCAGGCAATGATCTCACAAACGTCGGCGCTGTTTTTAGTGCGTATACTCATATCCATAACATCCGTACACAGGTATAATAAATGTCGTCTCTTATAAATGATAAATTCGCATTAAAAGCGTAAGAACATAGCTCTTTATGAACCAAGCGAATTAACCGGTTTTATTCTATCCTAAATTCACTCTAAATTCAGTTCCGATTCTAAACGGAACATTACAAGAGAACAGGTTTTACCTAAATTAAAATGCATAAGTGAAATGAGCATCGAAATGACGTAGGAATAGAATATCTGTAACATTTGTAAATCAATCACTTTCTTTTTATATTTTTATACAAAAATGGAACAGTAGCTACACTAAATGACGTAAATTCAGACACGAGTGAATTTGAATTCGGGTTCGGATTTTTACATAATTGCTCTTTAACAGAGCGACCTAGGTCGTATACGGCCCTAAGGCATCTTAGCAATGTTTAAAGCGCTATATTATTTCATTTTACTATTTTAACATGTACTTTAATAACAAAGAAAGAATGTTAATTATGTATTATGTACTTGTAATTTATCCCAAATACGATATATGTCAAGATATGTCAATGTAGTTAAATGAAACGAAATAGTACCTAATAATATTTGTCAAGGTAGCTTAACTTATGATTAGAGAATGAGGCGGTCGCACTCCAGATCGCTTTCGATGACAGATCCAGTAGGGGTCATGGGGTCACGACTTCCCTCTGAGATGGGTCCACGACATAGATGGACTACTCATTACGAACGTAAAAGAAAAATCGTTTGTTTTTTTAATATAGGTAAGTATGTTTAAGTACAATACTTAGATTTATCAATAAAATACTTGCTTCTACTTGTATCCATTTAATCGTACTTGCCTTAAGTGTAGATTGAAGTTGCCCACCCAGCTATACAGATCAAATATGGTCAGTTAAAATGTTACACTTTTTTCAGCGCAGGTAGAAATAAAACACATAATATTTATGCCGAGACGCATTCAATATATTTTATTTGATTTATATCCGCTAAACTATTGTAATTACATAATAATAATCTCGTTTCGTGTTCGATATAAAAAACAATTAACAATAATTACAATACCATGATTATTCAATATTTGACTCTATATCTATTATAGTAAAGGCCAATATGCCTGCTTTCTTCAATTAATTTTCAGACAGTTTTAATAACACATGTAAATATGATACAGCTTTTATTTTCAACACAGAAAGATTTAAATTAGTTTAGATACATGTTTAGAAATCTCGAATATAATATTTATTAACTAGACATTTAATAAATTATGATTTCAACAGATATTTACTTATTATTAGTAATTAATAGGTATTTTTAAACATATAATATACAGTCATCCTAGAAACTAGTCTACCATATTGTCTGCTATATACTGGTTGTGTTTTAAAATAAAAATATTTTTTATTGATAGTGTTAAGATGACCAACTATTTATTTAGCAGTACACAAGAAAATTTGAAGTAAAGAAAAAAGTCGGTAATCAAAATTGAAGCGACAATTTTTTGTCTTTAATAAGGGACGTCCATACGTATTTTATTTTTTACTTTAATTTAACAAGACATGGCTTAGTTAACAGGCATTAAAGTTAAAGAGTGGCTTGCTACGTCACATTTTTGTAGAAAATGTACAAAAACTTGACGTCGCGAGACATGTAACTCAATGTTTCGCCGTAATTTAATGATTACCCAAAAAAATATATGTTTCCTAATTTTCAATAACGGCATGGGCAAACAAAAAAAAAAATAAAAAAAAAATTTATACATCATCTCTATTGTCACAATATGCAAGGGGGAGACGACCTTTGCTGTTGACGACGTTCAAATAAACCTCAAACTTAGGGTGGTAGACTATAATTTTGGCCGACTGTACTTAACAAAAAAATATTTGTTTTCGCATACGATATTTTATATCTTAATCTATTATTCTAATCTAGTGGCATTTTCCAACAGAAAAATTAAGAAATACAATGCAATACTGGTGTAAGCGAATATTATGTTTTATAATATATTATTGTCATATCTAGTTACTATATTATGTATGGAATTAATCAAATTTTATATATATATATGCATACAATCTATAACTAAGTGCTAGAATTGATATTTAGGCAAAGCTTTTAATAAATCCACCAGCATTTAGCATTTTGCCTAAGCGTTTATATATAATTATTTATCTTAAATATGTAAGATTTATCAAGTAATTTCTCACTTATTTCTTCAGACCCATTGTATAATTTTGTTTCATTTTCAAATAATTTTGACTTTCGCTAATGTGTGGCGGAATTTGTGGTAATGAGAAAAATGGCAAGAATTCGACAAAGGTTTTTAGACAGACCTTTTGCAAACAACATTAATAATGGGGCTTTATTTAAGCTACATTCTGTTTTATTATTAATGAATTTAAATATCATTTATTCAAGCACAAGAATTAGTTCAAGCACTGGACTGAACTCGTCAATATGTTAAATGTCTAACTAAATACCACACATTTTTTGAATAATATACTAAGGGTGTTAGGCTAACATTAAGGATGTTTCTGTTACAGTTATACACAATGTTTTTATACATATTCGAACATTTTTTAATTACATATTTTACTAGATTATAATAGGGTAATTTTGTTAGTGTAATATAAGTCACGAAATTGCACAAAATCTAATATTTACATTGTAATAAAGATAAGAGATTTCGATTTTGAGTTATAAAATTGTCAGATTATCTTAAAATTATAAGTTGAGTTTTTATGTGTGTCACGTGATTTGAAAATACGCCATTGTGTGACGTCACCCCAGCGACAGACGTCAGATTAGCCGTAAACATATCCCTATTGATTATAAATCTTGTTTTATTGACATCTTTTAATCTACTTCTCTGTGTGTTGTGTACATATCGGAATGACGTCATGAATATTGCGGACAGGGTTTTCGTGAGTATAAACTAAATTTAAATTTCGATTTCATTGTAAGGTAAGAAAACGTGTATATTTTACTGAAATATATATTTGATGGCTTTTTTTTATTAAAACAAACACGAATGAGAAATATTTCAAACAGAGTAGAATATCCTATTAGTACAACAATAACTGTAGTAATTATATAAGCATGTAGGCTCCACCCATTTACAGGATTACTTTTAAGTTACATAGAACAATACTCATATATGTATTGTGTAATTTTTTAATGTTGTTAATAGATGCACATATTTCTATGAGAGCGTAATCAAATCTTAGGATAATTCAACTAACGGGGTCCATAAGTAAAATAATTTTTAATGAGTATTATTTATCATTGAGATCATGTACCATTCCGAATTTTTAAATTCCAATAAAATCATGTCACGAAATTATAATAGTAAATTACAACTAAAACTATCATCTATAATGATTAATAAATAAGCGAATATTATGAGATTATATTGTTATATGACTGTTATGAGAAAGAGAAACTTAATATCCAAAATGGACACTAAAGAAAAATAACACAAAATTATAACAAGTAATTAAGTACTTGGCCGACATAATTAAAGTAAAATTAACTGAGTTCGCACGAAATAAAAAAAAAGTGAATATTTCCACATTAGTAAACCCAAGATTTGGCTATATGACTTAGTTCCTTCGCCTGTCACATTGGCAACTGAGCCATATGTTACAAACTTTAACTACGATCGTCTAAGTTGAGTACAGTTTTAATGCCTGTTCGTAGGCTCGGGCCTTAATTAACCGAAAAAAGTCGTTAAGTAAATTTGATTTCAGACGCACAATCTTTACGCGATGGCTGTTGAGAATATTAAATTCGAATTTAAATGTAGAATTTAGTCTTAGAACCGACTTATGCTGCAATTTAAATATAGAAACTATAGTTTTCTAAGCCTCGAACAAACATCGCCATATTTCAGACAATTTAAATAACACCTTATTGATTTAACACAAGCAAACTTAATTAATAATATTCGTAACAGTGGCTATTCTTTCAATGACTTTAAGCTGTAAAATGGTATTTTATTATAGAATTAGCCGCCAGCGGCTTCATCTGCGTGATGTAGTTTTAAGTCTAAAAAATTCTATAAAAACTTTCATCCGGTAATTTATCCACTTAGGGGTCGAATTTTGTAAAATCCCATCTTAGTGAGCACCAACGTCCTAAAAGAACCCGAATGCAAAATTTGAAACTCCTAGTACTTGTAGTTTCTGAGATTTCGTGATGAGTGAGTGAGTGACCTTTGGCTTTTAAGAAATGGTTTTGAAACATGCGTTTTTGTTAAGCATTTCGTCTATGCAAACTGAGAATAACATATGTGTAATTTATAATTGTAATTAAATCTATAAAACAGTCATTTCATATAATGACTAGGCTATTCGTTTTACAATCCCCGTAACCATAGTTCGTAGTTCGTAGTATGATGTATACTATCACCGAGTTTTTGCAGTCATAGTATTCGCAAACTCTGACGCATTATCTCATAATTTAGCTCCAAATATGTTTAATATAATGTTAAAAATATGACTTTATTTTTTTTCTATAACAAATAATGATCTAATCTAATTCTTTATATAATTTCCTAGATGTCAACAATAGCCTCTATTTTTTTAATTTTATTTTGATATATTACAAACGCGTCATCATCGCGTCACATGAAGACGAAATAGACATAAACTGCTTTCAGTCCAATACACATTAATATGTATTTATGTGTACAGATTTTTTTTTAGTTCAGTTTAAACAATACAACTTTGTTTGTCATGGTTGAATATCATAGTTAAATTTAATAATATTAAATTATCTATTCATTTGTCACAATGTATGCATTGTGTCTGCATATATTGTGACAAATGAATAGATAATATATATTGCCGGCAACGTATGCGAACAATAATAACTTTGTAGATAAAATTGAAATTTTATATATTTACTAAAATCCAGTCAATATATATAATAACTACACTATATTTTGTTATTATTATTATTATTTAAGCTACTGTATATAATGACTCCCGTTTGTCATATGCATTAGAAAATATGTGGTAATATTACAGCGACAGCAAGCTATAAAAGCTACACAACTATATATACAAGTTACATTTTTGTCCGCATTTATAATGCCATAATGAATTACTCTCAATTCCGGACTGTCCAACAGAAGTAATTGAAAATAGGATTATATAAAATGACTAATAATCTATTATGATGAAAACACTGCTGTTGCCGCATTTAACATTTCTTGGAATTTTCTACATCACCTTGATTTATTGCAATTACACTCTGGACATATATTAATAATAATAAATGTCCATTTCGATATATTACTTACACGAACAATTTGTTTTCTAATTTTAATTTCAAAATCTACTTTATTACAACGCCATAAGACACTAATTTCCCCATATTTCAATGATTCAACTCGGTAATTAAAAATATTGACATTACTCTTGTTACACTCAAACAACATTCAATCAAATGTAATCTGTATTATAATAGTACATAGTGACTTGAATCGCATGTTTTCAATTGACATTATTGTTTGAGAAGTTTCTCCTGTTCCTCGAGCCGGGCGGGGTATAAGTCCCCGTTTCGATGTTCCGGAGACGAACGAGCGAACGAAGCTCTAGTGTGAGGCGACGCGGAAACCGGCAGAGGGTTGGGAGATACCTGACAAGTACACAATTAATATATATATAAATATATATTTGGTTTAAGAACTTGTGCATCGTAGAGATTAAGAGAACTCAAGTGACATTAAAAGAAAACTCATTTTCTTTTGTTTCTTTCCCTATGATGAAAATGCTCTATGTTCTTTTATTACAATGAAAGAACATAGAGCATTTTAAAAAGGCTTATAACGTTGAATTCAGTATATATTTCGTTTGTTACGGCTGTAATGGGTACAGGTGATCATAATGTACTTGATTGTAATGAAATTTAGAACATAAAATTACCTATATTAGAAGTTGGTGAAATCAAAACAGTATCTGATTGTACACAAACTAAGGATGTGCGTTAATTGTGTTACGTATTGTATATTACTTTTCTTGACTCACCTGTCTCGACGGCGTCTTATGGTCTCCAGTGAGGCTGAGGTCTTCATCCACCGCCTCTAAGAGCTGCGAACAATTATATTATGTATTCAATGTGAGTTCAAGTATACACGTAGTTTTTCTCGTGTAATACCTGCGAGACGTTAAGAGCTAGATCAAAAATGCTAGCAAAATCTGCATAAATTCTCTTATTTTAACGTTGATAATGAATAGATAACTCTTTTATTGTTAACAATACACTATTTACAGATACAAAGATAAACTTAATTAATTTGCATAACAATTGGCGGCCTTATCTCTTAAAGAGATTTCTTGCAACCTGTGGATGGAGAAATAATGGAGACGATGGTGTAAATCTTATCAACAATACTTAAGACGTGCAATTAGATGCTAACAATGAATATAAACACACAAACTGCATACCTTCAATAAATATTTATATAAATATAATCGTATACATATATATATATAATTTTGTTTAAAATATTGTTATTAAAATTTTACTAAAAAAAAATAGTATCTTGTAATACAATATTCAATATAATTGTAATTTACACATTTTAAAATTTATTTTTATAAATATAAGAGGTAATTTTATATTTCTATTATTACTTTAAGAAAAAACAAATTTAAAACGAATGTGTAATATTTGATCACTTGACTACATAGTTACACATAAATAAAATATATATATACATATAACATATTACAATGTCTGTTTACCACTTGTCCATTACCAACAAAGATACTTTATACATATAAAATAATAGAAAATAACAACTTTATGTCATATAAAATACCACAGTGAATTACTCAATTATAATTATAAAATTCAACAGGCAGTTGCACAAACGTTTCATTAGTTTAAAGTGACATTACCCATACAAGTGTGACGTTCATTAGAGCTTAAAGGCGTCATTAAATCATAATGGACGTTTGTGCTACTGACAGGAAACCTCAAGTCTGATCCATCTTTTCCAGAATCCTTATTATCTTAGACAGCTGTGTGAGCACAAGTCTATCCACTTCAGATCTCTTCTCTGTCTCTGGACGTGCCATCGAGTCAAATTCAATCGATTTCTTCTCGTATTCGTTTCTTACATCAATCGAACATCGGGGTGAATTGTAGCCTGATGGGGTTTTAAAATTATTACGTAAAATGTTCCCTTTAGGGCCTGATTTCCTTCCCGATCAAGTATAACTACGCAACTACCTTCATCATCTTCAATCCTTTTACGTCTCCACTGCGGGGGCTCAGGCCTTCTTTATGGATGGTTAAGGAGGATAGGCCATGACCCTCCACGTTGGCCCAATGCGAATTGGAGGGTATCAATGACTGCAAATGCAGCCAGGACTAACGGCTTAACGTGCCTTCCGAAGCACGGAGTAGTTCGAGATATTGATGGTTTCAGGGATACTCATGAACTGGACGTATGAGAAAACTGAGGCGTTACTAGCAGCTCTGAAGTAGTCTCGATATAAAATAAACTATAATAACAATACTATACCACATATACTATCACGCATACTCACATCACATAGCATTCACACATACACGACATAAATTTCCATGTCCCAAATCAGCATTCTAAATATATACAGCGTGTTTGGTAATACCTGTATAATCCCGAAACATGGCCATACAACCTAGCACAAAGAACACAATTGATATGTCAAAAAACAATTTCACGTAAATTGATATTTTCATACAAATATTTGAACAATTTGTTTTCAATTACTATGCTACAACCCTGTAAGCTTACACGTGCCGTCCCGGCGCACTCGCTCTTTCTCTCTCTCTCTCTCTCGTTACCTCTCACTCTCTCGTTTCCTTGAATACATTTTGATGTTGCCGACGTGCGCACTCGACTACGTATGAATTTACTTATAATTAAAACAATTTAAGATTAAATAGGTACATACCTATAGCGTTCTAATCACTCTTTCAGCTTTCACTTGTCAACATTACCTACACTTCACCTCCACTTTATCAGTCCAGGGTCTCGATATGCCGGCCACCGCATAAAACACACATCTCCAGTCGACTCGACACAGTAAGTCATATCCTCTGTCTCGATGGAATAGGTGATCGGCCGGCCTACCTGTGGTACACTATGGAATGAACCAGTTGTATGTAACCAATTCACAAATGCCGCGAATCACCGGTAAGAAGGAAGGAAGAAGGAAGGTTTTCAGGTCTTCCTGATACGTGGCGCTCGTCATAACGCCGCCGAGCCGCAGCAAGATTACCGTCACAAGCACCGCCACACATTATCATCTCGTAATATTAAGCATTTGAGTACGAATTCATTGCACTGACCACACACGAACTTAACACACAGGTAAACAGAAAGAGAATGAAAAACAAACCAAAAGTCTCGAAAGAACGCAAACGTAAGTTGACCTTCTAAATTCTGAAAACTCACAAGTACGCCGATGAAAGTCACGGACGCGACTGACGCGATGACCAAAACTACATAGGTTATTATTATTGCAACTCGAACACCAATGTACCTAAATCAAAAGTGCACCGATTCGATTTTATGTCTCTGTCGCTCCTTCTTGCATAGACTAATGTGAGCAATGGTGCAGATATTGAACTTCAATCAAAGTATTTGCAATTTCTTTTTTATTTTGTCTGTATTATTAGAGAAGTTTTCTTAATTCTAGTTTTTGAAACACCGTTAATTACAAGATTAGTGTTTTTTATGGTTAAAAGTCATTTACTACTAACTTTTTCTTTGTTTTTGTAATAACAAATTACTCTCAGATGCATATTCATTCTAGGCATTTATCTTTAGATTTATTTAACTTGTTATTTTTTAAATTAGTTCGGCACATGGAGTCGATGACCAAATACAACACAACAGCTGTTTTTAGGGTTGTCAGCGTACAGTTTTACTTCGAAGAAAAAAAGCTGAATATCTAGGTCATGTGCTGGGTTTCAGACTTAGTGATCATTTTTCTGGGTTCTATTCATCATACCGTATGTGCCATATTCGGGATTATACAGGTATTACCAAACACGCTGTATAAAATCAGAAAACTGTTTGTTTTAAATAGTTTTATTGGAAATTGTAATAATCTCCTCCACAGGCCAGGCACTGCCTAGTGTGGGGGTCAGTATGTATAAAATTGTAATGGTTTCGGGAAATAAACATTTTTTCATAATTTTTTTTTGGTCATCCATCCCGTGACCGACCCTCACGAAAATTGCTTAACGACAACGATCGCATGCCGCGGCGCTTATCCACTACGCCACTGAACTAAACCGGGCATGGATATTTTTGCTTAGCTGACTAGCCGAAGTGAAAATTCTATTTGATAGTATAATACATATGGGGACTACAAGCATACTAACACTAAAGAAACATGTTAATATGGCGCTACCTGTCCCGCTCATAATTATGACTACGACAAATCAAGATGACTATGATATCTATCTATCTATCTATATAGCCTTATCCCTTGCGGGGTAGATACTATACTATGGTATGATGACAATTATTATCAGTTCAGTTTCCTCTCACCTTTGGCATCTGAAGAATTGCCATCGGTGACGTCATTATTAGAATTGAGATCGTAAAACGTCAAAAGTGAAGAATCTTTACGAAAAGTGGTCTTCTTTTTTATGTGATCCGAATCTGTTAATTTCAACTTTATGAGTGTAAAATAATAAGAGCTATTTTTAAATAAACCTTAACATATCAGCGGTAGGTCACTAGACAGTATATAAAATGGCTATCTAATATACTACCTGTTCGCCCGCGATTTCGCTCGCGTAAATTAACGTAACAAACGTCAATTACCCATACAAATTTGGCATTATTTAGAGCTTAAAGGTGTCATTAAACCTTAATGGATGTTTGTGCTGATCGTATGTCACACACGTGTGTTGTAGCTTTTTTTAAAGCGGCAGTTTCTATTTAATGGTGAAGAAAGACCAAATCTTTCCACTTCTTAAAATTAAAAATAGTCTTTTCTAATATTGAATCAATGGCCTAATTGTCTAATTTTAAAACCCCTTCAAATGTATAGCGATTGAGATAGTGATTTAAATTCTATAACTTCTAAAGTCACAATCAATTGTATTATTTATTTATTATATTATTGTATATAAATGCCATTTATTTTGTTTGTTTTTTTTTTAAATAGCTTTTTATGGTATTTGTAACTATCACATTGTTCAGACAATTCCGATTAACATCAAAGAAACGTTATCTTCATTCAATATCCTAAAGTTGTAGTGAGAGGTTCGTAAATACCTTTCAAATGTCAAATTCAAAGTGATTGTTAAAGATTTTCAAATTAGACAATTAGGCTTCAGGTCTTCGTTCTTATTACACGGTCTCTCATATATATGAATGTTTAAAAAAAATTTAAATAGACAAATAAATATATTTAACCGTTTCTCTCCGAACTTCTATTCGAAAGACTCGACGTCATCCAATAGTTGTTTCTCACGCATTCGTCGCAAACTTCACCGTCGTCCTCATATTTCCTGCACTTGTCTAAAGACCCTGGGTTCACTTCACAGTGGTCCAAGCAATCGCGGCTGCGCATAATCTGTTTCGCTTCAATATTCTGTACGGCCAACTCTTGAGGGCTAGACCAAGATTGGATCAAGCATTTGCCGTCGTTCACCAAACGTTTCACGTCACACACCGACTTGATACTATTCGGCGGATATTTCGCATCAGATTTACTCGATCTCTCAGATCTGTCATATAACAATTGATCGGATGACGAATAGTTCGGTTGACATATCTGCATCAGCTCGATAATGTTGTGCTTTGGCTGAAAATGTTACCTATGTGTCCGTCATTTTATGTAATGACTAGGCAAAACGTTTAAAACTAACATTCAACTGTAGATTTACTAGAAACTCTACATTAAAGTACTACATCTACATATTTAATTAAATTATACTTGATTAATTAAGCTAGGCATATTAATTATACACCTAAATCTTCCTCATGAATCAGACAGACAGTCGTGATAAGAAGACTTATAATAAACTTAGTTATGGATACATGATATGGCTTGAAGTTATTATATAAATAAATAAGCTTAAATAAATTTTCAAGAGAGAAAACAGTTTTTTCCCATATTACGAGGGTCAAACTGAAAGTTCTTAGAAAATCAAAAACTGATTACATTAGCCAGTTATTAGTTTTATTATATCTTTTCAAAATATTGTCCATTCACGTCAATACACCGCTGCATGCGATGGAACCACTGGGAAAAGCACTTTGCCCACTCGTCCTTAGGGGTCTCTTCAATGGCATCGCGATACGCAGCCACCGCTTCTTCAGCATTCATAAACCGCTTTCCTTTAAGTTTTTCTTTAATTTTTGGAAATAAATAAAAATCACAAGGCGCGAGGTCGGGGCTATACGGCGGGTGACCCAGTAATTCAACGTTTGATGTCGCCAAATAGTCGATCGTTCGCTTGGCGGTGTGCGACGAGGCGTTGTCGTGGTGAAGGAGGATCCTACTGCGAGGTCGTTTCTCTCGAACTTTTTCCAAGACAAGTGGCAAACAATTGGTAGTGTACCATTCTGCAGAAACTGTTTTTTGATCCTCTAACACAATTGTTGCAAAATGACCTATCCTTCCAAAGAACGAGGCCACCATTTTTTTTCCCGCACTTCGATCTCTCTTCACTTTAGTTGGCAACTCCTCGAAAGGAAACACCCACTGAGCAGATTGTCTTTTGGTTTTAGGATCATAACAGTAAATCCAGCTTTCGTCACCTGTTAGTATGTCGAACACAGCATTTGAGTCACCTCCGTTAAATCTTTCAATCATTTTACGACACCAATCCACACGATGGAGTTTTTGAGCCTCAATCAAATTATGAGGTATCCACCGGGCGCAAAGCTTCCTGACCGCTAAATGTTCGTGGAGGATTTTGTGCACTTGACTCATACCGATGCCTAAGCTTGTCCGAATCTGTTGATAGGTCACTCTTTTGTCAGTCTCTATCATACGCCGCACAACACAGATGTTATCTTCAGTCGTCGCCGTAGAAGGCCGTCCCTCACGTAAATCATCAGTGAGATTAGTGCGACCACGTTTAAACTCATTAAACCAGTTGTAAACAGTCGCACGAGATGGGGCTTCATCGTGAAAGGCCAATCGTAGTCTATCATAACTTTCTTGTTGACTTAAATGACATCGAAAGTCATAAAAAATCATTGCACGAAAATTTTCTCGTGTTAAATTCATGATGACGTGACACAGACAATTTTCAATTTGCCGCCAAATCGTAAAACAAATGACAAATGAATGAAATATATACTCAGTAATATTGGCAAAGAGTTATATTTTCAAATTTTAGAATTATTTTTTTATTATATTGTTTATAAGTGGCCAGTTCTAAGAACTTTCAGTTTGACCCTCTAAGCAGAGGTCGGAATTAGGTAGAGTTATTTATGTACTTGCATCGAAATGTTGATATAATCCCGGGATTTCTAATGGACAATCTTGGACATCTTTGGACATCCGATGTTATTGATGTAAGTTTGGCAACGTCGTGCGTGCAGTAGTTTAAATTGTGTAAAAGTAAATAACTTTTTATTTAAAAAATCACGGGATTTTTTCTGCTCTTTAAAATTAATCTCGGGATTTGAGGCATATCCACTTTATTCTTTCGCTGTATGAAATCAGTGTAAGTACGTGAATAACTCTACCTAATTCCGACCACTGATTATAAGTGACACATTTATCTTTGAACTAATTAAATACGTAACAGTATATTTGAATACTAGTACAAATGCAAGTTAAATATTGAACCTTATTAATATTAGACGTAGAGCCTTTAACGTCAACGTCAGCAGATCCACTGCTGGTAGCTATTCCGAGGAGTTTTTTAGATATCATAGCAACTGGTATATTCGCAACTGAGGCGTGACATAAATGCTGGAAGCGGGAAAAAAGATACTTCACATTGAATCATTGGTTTCATTCAACATAAAAAATAGGGATGTCCAATGGGTAAAAAAAAAAGAAATTCTATCTAATCCGTCAGTGGGATAATATTCGTAGAAAGATATGAGACACATATTTTGTATTTGCTTAGATAATAGGCATTAAAATTCAGGAGTGGAGGAATGCTACAACACAGCTGTTCTGTCACCATTCCTTATTCATATATTTATCATGAATTATCGAAATGGGAACTCTAGTGTCCTAAAATTAAATAGCTTTGAATCGATATTTCTGTATGGGTGAATTACTTTAATTTGTGTCGTTGTTGGCTGCGCCATGTAGTCCATACAGTAGAATATGCCTCTGTATTGTAGGTATCTTTACACCTGCCTTACTCACTCCGTGCGTTCGACCTTGCCCCGTTTTTAGAGTCAATTATGAATTGAAGTTTTAGTTATGCATACTTTATTTATACACACACACACACGCACGCACGCACGCACGCACGCACGCGCGCACACACACACACACACACATATACACTTACACCATCATGCGATATAATTTATATATATGTATTTTCGTCTAATACTTACATTTTCTTTGTTAACTGCCCTCATTATGATTAATTAATTAATATGATTAGTAAACGTAATAATTTTCTATAATTGGCGTCAATACTGCATATTTATTTTTGTGTTGAAATAACAAAACTGCTGTTGAAACTTTGTTAAATGAATAAATAAAATAAAATTAATTACATTCTATGACCGCGAGTTTTGATTTAATGAAACTCGAGGGCAGTTGAACGCCATCTACAAAACGTTTACTATCGTAATACTCATCAAAACGACTAAATCTTTTAAGCGTGTGTCTGCTTGTTTCCTAATTCATGTGATGTGAAAACTGCGTTAACTCCGGATATTTGATATTTTCGGATATACTGGACAGTAAAGGAACCGGACGGTGGCCGATCGAGGTGAAAATCCTCATCGATCTTCTCATGGTACGTGGGTGCATTATAGTTTGTTTCAACGTATCTTTCGACCGTATCTGAATCGATTCTCATCGGCAGACCTATCCAGGTCTGACCCAGTGTAGTAGAAAGCCACCACTCGCTTTACTCTGTGTAACGTGCGGCTGTTAAAACGTAGAAAGTGTACAAAGGTGTGACGTCATGCGACATTTCAACTCAATGTGTCTCCGTAATTTATTGATTACGAAAAAAAATACATGTTTAATATTCTTCGATAATCTACCTGACAGACAGACGTACAAAAAACAGTTATCATCGCTATTCAAATTATAGCTTTCTTTGGAAAAAATTTAACTATACTCGAAGCGACGACATCTCGCCATAAGGTTTTCTATTTTCTTAATTATTTCTTTAAAAATAAGTTTTAATATTATAATACGACTAGAAACTAAAAAGTTACAAATCCTAACCATATATTTAAAAAAATCCACATATTGTACAAGGCAAGACTTAAAATTTACTAGCTTTCGCTAGCGGTTTCGCCCGCGTGGTCTCTAGGTAAATTTTTAGTGAGATAAAAAGTTCTATTATCTAAGTCAGCTAATATCCTATCTGTATACCAAATTTCATCAAAATCCGTTCAGTAGTTCCGGCGTGATTGACGGACAAACATCCAAACAAAGAAACTTTCACATTTATATTAATAGGATTACGGCGATACATTGAATTAAAATGTATACATTTTCTACATGGTTATGACGTAGCAAGTCCTGATTCGTCAACTTTTAATGCCTGTTATATAAGCCATATAATGAAAAAAAAAAGAAATGTATCTAATATTCGTCTATTATTGTCTATTACCCACACATCATCCCTATTCAGAAGCAATAAACAATGGATATCTATATTATAATTTCCATATTGAACACTACCAATATATATATTCAACTTTAATGCCAAACATATAAAGTTCATATTCGCACTCACCTTATCAACTTCCGTGTCAAATTGTTCATTGGTGGCACCCTTTGATAAAGCACCTTTCTCCATCAGTGTTGCCCGTTTTGCAGCTAAATATAGAGATCTGAAAGGAAAAAAAATAAGACCAATTTGACATTCAAGATTACAGTCAAAAATTTACAGTTACAGTCTAACAATCAGTACAATCGGCGACCTTATCGCTTAGCGCGATCTCTTCCAGGCAACCGTTAGAGAAAGGACAAAATATATTGCTATACTGAAAAATATACTTAATGAAAAATGTTTAAAAAAATCCATTTTCGTCCCTTTTGAGTCTGAAATGGGCTACCAAGAACTTAGTATATACTGGAGGAGCGAAATAAAAAGCGTCTATTCGTTATAAGTTGTATTGCGAGACAAAGGAATTGAGGCAGTAACAAACATACCCGACATTCGGGATTCTTATTGATCTACCTACACAACAGAACCTTACGGGACTGATGAATTATTCAAGCACTCTTTACTTTTTCGCCCCATTTCAAGAGTGCCAGGGAGATTATTTAAGCATTTTTCATTAAGAAAAATAAATGTTAAAACGAAACCTGCCACGCTTTTATGTGTATTGTGATGAGTTGTCCGTGGTAAGTTCGTCAAGTAAACTCATACGGTTTAATAGCCCAGCCTATTACAAACACAAACAAAAAAAAAATCTAGCTTTGACGGTGCATCGCATTTTGTAGTAATTTATATTTATAGTTTTTTATTGAAAGGAGATACTAAATTTGTGCTAAAAAAGAAACTTTGACGTAATAATTATTCAGGTACTAATTTTATTACCTATTTTTGAAAATAAGATTTTTTTTTTCTATATTTAATCAATGATATTTCAAAACTACGAGCTATATGACTGTATAAGAGATAACATTCAATTTTCACCAGTAGCTCAATCCAGAAGCCCAAAAAAGTGCCATCGCTCATTTTATGATTTTTTCCTCTACAATTTTGTGTTTAATTATAATAAAAAAAAAGTAGAGCATAATTTACAAAAAGCGAAGCCGCTATAAACACTGCCGATAGTTAATCTTCACTATTCAATAAGTCAAAATTAATACTATATTTTTGATTCCAATATCAAGGTACCCGAAATTGACCATTTTAAGCAAAAATCACAGTCAAAATTTAAAAGGGCCCTTAATAGATTTTGACGTTTCAACTATACTCGGCTAACAAGTATTGGCGAAAAAAAAACATACTACAGAAGTACAGTTAAATCTTTGTCCTACATTCCTCCGATAAACTAACGTACGATTAAAACAAACCATAAGGTGTAAAATATAATGCATTAGTTGACCGTTTCAAAAACTCTCGAATCCTTCCAATTCCAATCCTGAATTATTCCAATTGGTCGATTGCCGTTTCATTCTTCTGCTACATTAATTATATCTTACTGTTACAGTCTATTATTATCAGTGGTCGGAATTAGGTAGAGTTATTCATGTGCTTACACTGATTTCATACAGCGAAAGCATAAAGTGGATATGCCTCAAATCCCGAGATTAATTTTTTTTTTTTTTTTTTATGAGTCTAGGCTAGGTCTAGAAGCAAAAGTATTCGCTCGTATTTATAAAAAAGGCGAAATATGCGTATTAGAATTTGCTTAAGACTATCAATAATTTGTATTGTAAATTAATGTAAACTAATAAAAAATTTATGTTAATTATCTTTGTTTTATTTGTCTATCTCTGACGTTGTTATTATTATTTAGTTGTAGGATTGTTGGCCACACGGGATTGTCCATTAGAAATCCTGGGAAGGTCCACATTAATATCAACATTTCGATGCAAGTACATAAATAACTCTACCTAATTCCGACCTCATTCTCGTTATTATCCAACTCACTCACTCACCTCTTAACGGTCAGATAGAATAGCTCTGTGGTAGCTCTCACAGAGTAGTCTGGAACGAATGTGTGCCTCAACATCGAGTCCACGTTGATATTTTGTAACGAGCCCATGGCCGATGGCGTGGGTGATTCCGCTGGAAATATACACGACATTTATTTATTTATTCTTTTATCCACCAGTCAATCACTTATAAAACTTATAAATATTTAATAAAATAAATTTAGATAGTATAACGCTTTGACAACTTGAAAAAAGTAGGGAGAATGGCATTAAATTGGTTACATAAAATGTTGCAACATAAATAACAAAGATTGCTCTGACGCCCATACATTTTTTGCTATGTGTAGCACCGTGTGACGTCACTTAGTGCCTTGAATTTTATTAGTATTAGGAGAACAATAGTAGTTTATGCAACTGTCATATAAGAAGGGGTATTAAAACACGAGAGTCTGTTTATCGTTTGATAATAGGCTGACTCGAGTGTTTTAATACATAAGTTATATGCAGTTACATACATTACTTTATCTTCACTCATAAGAAAAATTGAAATTAAATAAGTAGGTAGGTTACAAGGATAGTAGTTTTTTGGAATCCCGAATACAAAAACACAATCGGCAAAAAAATGTATGGGAAGCGCGGGAAATTAAGTTCAAACTGCGTATGCGTGCGCCATTTTTTTCACAGTTTGAACTGTGCATGCGTGCATCTTTTTTTTTCATGTTCAGCCTAAAACCATAGACTAGTTTAATGAATAAAAAAGATAGCGGAACTGTAATGAGTTTTATGATACAGTTGGCGGTACTATAATGAGTTTTAATTTTTATTTTATGTATATGCGTTTATAAAGTGCGTATGTATTGAATCGTCTTTGAATTTTTCGAGTTGAGTGTAGATAAACAATATTATTACACAATCAAATAAAATAATATAAACATTGTTACAAATCAATTGAGGTTCCACCGTAATTAATTAACAAGAGCAAGAAACGTGTTAATAGCTAAAAATAAGTAAGACAAAAAAAAATTAAACAAACATTGGATTGAAACAACATCAAATTCACAAATTAATTATTGAGTATTTATCTCAACTTTTTCCTCTTTGAAAACTTGAAAAAAGTAGGGAGTTATTAAAAATGTCAATTGAATTAAATTTGTTGTTATAAATTCCACAAGATCTTTTAAAAAGCTGTGTAATTCGTTTTAACAAGAGGTACACTGAATAAAGCTTTACTCCTTGAGCTTATCCGGGGATATTTTATGTAAATATTACTGACAAGTGAGGACGAGTCAATCAGATTATTTAAATTAATTAATTAATCTTTGCAATTTGAACATCTGAGTCAGTAATTCCCTAAGTGGTCCAGGTGGACCGCCAGGGGTCCACGATGGTTCAATGGGGGTCTACGTTGGCGTGAAATAAAAATAGGGGTTCACAAGTTGTAAGATGGGTCTACGAAAATTTATTATAATTCTAATATTAAATCTTTATTAATCTAATATTAAAATTATCTGGTTTTGATAGTAAAGAACAAAAATGTTGGCTTGGCTTTACCTACATATCAATGTGCAGGCAGGCTATAATATTGTAAGAAGGTCAGCGTGTGTTACTTGTAAAAACTTGCATTTTCAACATTCAGTACAACGAATTTAGACCAATTTGATACATTTTGGACCAATTTTGGGAATATGGTAAAAATGTAGCAACAGTCCACCGAAACCAGTAAATTTTTTAAAATGATCTATGAGAAAAAAATGTTTGGAAACCCTGATCTAAATGATATAAGCTTTACAAATATATTCTTTCGATGGTTACTATCTTTGAAATCCAATGTAAATCCAATATATGTCACGGTTGATTTGTGTGGAAGCCTCAGCAATTATAATCATTAACTACGAAAAAAGAAACAATTGTATATAATACAACTCACCCACTCCTATATTCTGTGTGAGAGCCTGTATACCGAAGTAAGTGAAAGGTCCAGCTTCGAACACGAGATTCTCTCTACCCACTGTCACCTCCACGCGCCCCTCCAGGATCAACACGAAATAGTCAACCTGCAGGGGAGAATGTACTTTAATCAACTGAGCCATCAAAGCGGCAACAATTCTACTATATACTACCATATACTACTAACACTTCATCTTTTACGTCCCCGCTGCGGGGGCTCAGGCCTTCCTTATGGATGGATAAGGAGGATGGGCTATGACCCTCCACGCTAGCCCAGTGGTGATTGGAGGGTCAAACGGCCTTACGTGCCTTCCGAAGCACGGAAAAGCTCGAGATAATAATTTTTCGGTCACCCATCCCGTAACCGACACTTGCGAAAGTTGCTTAACGACAACGTTCGCGGGCCGCGGCGCTGATTCATTACCACCACCGAGCTGCTCAATATATACTTACATCATCACCAGCCTGTTGATGTTCCTATTGAATGAAAACGAATAGGAAGAATGGGCTATGATCCACCATGCCGGCCCAGTGAAGATTGATGAGTATTAACGACTGCAGATACAGGCCGCATCAACGCCTTAACCTGCCTTCCGAAGCACGGTGTTGGAGACAAATTTTTGGTCACCCATCCCACGGCCGGCCATTGCAAAATTAGCTTAACCTCCGCATCGCAGACTACTCGCTACTATTTACGCTCACGATGACACCAGGTTAATGAAGATTAACATGACTTACCGGTTTCCCTTGCTGGTATACGTAAGTGCTTGGATCTTTCTTCGACTTCCCCTTCAACTTGATGTGATGTATGACATCCTGTCTTAGCAGTCTTCTCAAAACCGTCTCAGAAACTGTATCCGGACGAAATGCGTCCACACCTGTTAGGATAAAGCGCCAGTAGTTCTATAGAGCGGTTTTATGAAAGACATTAACCGGTTTTCAATACCGGTTCAAAGTACTGATTTGGATCACTAATCTTAATTTGTATAAATTGAACAAACTTCGACATGGTAATGAAATGGTAATATTTTAATAAAATAGTAACAAAACTATAAAAAGACTATAAAAAAAAAATTATTAGATACACAGTGACTGAAATAAACGCTTTAAAGCCGATATGAATCGGTTAACTTTTCAGAGCGGTTTTATATAATTTGTTAAATGACCAGTTAATTAACAATTTCATATGCGTATAGTATAATAAAACGCGTTTTAATTTGATAATTTTAAGACATTTTGGATCCTTTACAGGTTCCGCGTTCACTTAGACTAAGATGTTGGTTGTCTTTTAATAATTAAGGGCATAGCTACCTTGAAACAGTACTTAGTGGACACATTTACAATACATTTTTTTCATATGGAATTATTTGTATTAATTAAATTATTATAACAAATTATTTGTATTACTTAATTTATTGTTTAAAAAACCAGCATAGAAATTTTAAGGTTTTACGTTAATATTTAAATAGTATATGTCGCATCATCTTTACGAAGATCGTTTGATTTAGTTTCTTTTTTTTTAATTGCTAGTTACTCGATTGTGGAGGGCATGATCATCGATTCTTTAATTTTATTAGAATTTGTGACATTGACTTTGACAATTCGTTAACAAAAAGCAAGTTGCCGCCATTTTGGCACACATTCTGTTTCCGATCGCCGAGGAGTAAAGACATCCGACGACATCACGCTCATCTCGTTATATTTTCTTATGAAAAGTGATAAAATGGAATAAATCCACATAGGTATATACGCCTGCAGTGTTATTTTAAAGATAGTCCCCAAATATTTACGATCTATTTGGGCTTCGTAATAGCCCCTTCTGACATTCCGCCGACATATAATATTTGACTTAGAGCTGTTTTAATATATGCGGTTATTTTAATGCTTTTATTATACCACAGATATTTTTTAAAATAATATATTAAGAACGAGGCCGTTTTCAAAAATACCATTATTATAATCTATGGTCAAAAGTACTCAGTCAACCATAAAATAAAAATATAACTTTACTCACTGGTGCTAAGAAACTGAAAGGTGGCCAGGGTGAGCTGCGGAGATATGTGGATGTGCTGGTTCTCGTGGCGTTCAGCGAACGCTGCGAAATCTTGCAGTTTGTTCAGCGGGCACTTACGACGTTTCTTAGTGCGATTGTCCACTGGGTGATTTAGAAATAAACAAATAATTATATCAGATAACGGTGCCGGTTCTATTGTACCACTCACTAAACTGTATTGAAAAAAAAAGTCTAGTTTCGATTTTGTTAGTGAAACGGAATTTTAGTCTATCTATTGTCATTGATAGTCTGTAAAATACTCTATGGTTACGTAGATTTCCGCCATCTTTTTACAAATACAAATTGCATTGATTGAATACGTTGTTTTATTATTCTAAGTCTGAGTTACTTAACAGGATGTTTATATTTAATTATTTACAAGATATTGAAATCCTTTATTTTTTTTTTCAAAGTTTGTAAAAACATAATTTAAATGGGACTAAAATGAGAACTGCTATTTGAATAGTGACTCTCGGGATGATAAAGGAAAGGGTTAAAATCAACACATAGATGTGACGTAGTGTATGTATCAATGGCCAGGGACAAATAAATTTAATTAACCATTAAACAAATGAAATTCCATTTTAAATATATGTTTATTCTTTTCTTTCAATACATTTGGAATAATCTAATTTATTGTCATCAGTTTCCCTATGGATGGAACCAAGAACGGGCCTTATGGGGTTTGGTCGGTTTTAACGACGGCATTTGCAGCCGGGAACAACAGGTTAATGCGCCTTCTGAAATTTTTGGTCATCCATCTTATCACCGGTCCTTGCAAAACTTACTCAGCCCTCTTACCGCAGATCATACACCCTGACCACTGCGCTCCACATCTCTCTTGACTCGACTTATAATCATAATATCTCAACTCACGGAACACATCAGTTTCGTCGACGATCTCAGCTTGAATCATCTCCTCTATGACGTCCTCTAGAGTGACCAAACCTATGGTTTCATAGAACGGGTCACCCTCGCCTTCATTGTTGATGCGATGGACAAACGCCATATGACCTTTGTGGCCTGGGAATAAAGTTGAAATCGGTGTATCATTACCGTAAAATTGTTTCCAAAATTTTTTCATGACTTTAACCATAGGACACGACATCTTAGCGATGATACAGTAATATTTCGGTTCATTTTACTACTTTGACATGTAATATCGATGAACGAATGATAAATAATTAAGTATAATTATGGATTAGACAGCAGTGGTACCAACTTAATCATTTATACTATAACATCGCTAAGACGACATATCCTATGACTAGAGCCATGGCCCGAGAGTTAAGCGGTTACGTCACATATATAGCAGAAGACACAATAGTATTTTTTTAAATTACAAACTCATGGTCAGTCGGTCACTCAGGGTCATGTTCAGGCATATCCATACTAAGCATACACGTAAATGTTGAGAATAGTAAGTACCTTTTTATCACATACTATTATGATTTTTAGTTGGTAGAGCTTAAATCATCTTCATTATGAAATCAAGCAGAAATCTATTTCTTTTCAAATTCATTTTATAAGAAAAAAAAAAAACAATTATTTATACTTTTTCATTCAAATTGCTTGCCAACCACAGACTAACTACCCTATTTTTACACATACCATTAATCGCGTATGAAATCACAGACTAGTGCTACATAAACCTAACACTCACCATCTTTGAATTGCTTAAACATGATGTCGAGCGTGACGTCCTCGAAGACGAAGTTGCAGGGGTTCTGGTAGTACTGGCAGAGGGTCCGCAGCGGAGTGTTGTCGTCCGGGTCGACGAAGGCCAGGTCCTTGATGAACAGCACCGTCACTATGTTGCCGCGGCTGCCCTCGTACACCGGGATACGGGAGTAACCTAACAACGAGGTTCATTGTGAACTTTCACCAACTGAGCGTTTTAAAATAACTTGTGATGTAATAGTCCTGCGGTCAGTTATCTCATAAAAAATATTATCTCGAGCTACTCCGTGCTTCGGAAGGCACGTTGAGCCGTTGGTCCCGGCTGCATTTTGCAGTCGTTAATCCCCTTCAATCCGCATTGGGCCAGCGTGGAGGGTCATGGCCCATCCTCCTTAACCATCCATGAGGAAGGCCTGAGCCCTTGCAGTGGGGACGTAAAAGGGCTGGTGATGATTAACCACATTATATTTGATCAATTTTGCATTTATAATGCTATAGTGATCATAATATAGTCTATACTAATATTATAAATGCGAAAGTAACTCTGTCTATCTGTTACTTAATCACGCCAAAACCACTAAACCAATTTGCATGAAATTTGGTACGGAGATATTTTAATACCCAAGAAAGGACATAGGCTACTTTTTACCGCGGGAAAATGACGCATTCCCACGATAATATAAATATATATAATTTAGATTATTTTCCCGAACTTTAGATATAACTCAAAGGTGACTGACTGACATAGTGATCTATCAACGCACAGCCCAAACCACTGGACAGATTGGGCTGAAATTGGGCATGCAGGTAGATGTTATGACGTAGGCATCCGTCAAGAAAGGATTTTGATAAATTCCACCCCTAAGGGCATAAGCTAAGAGGATAAGACTTTTTTTCAGGTATTTTACACGATATAATGAATAAATATTCGTTAGAAATGCTGCTCAAAGTAACTTTACGCGGGCAAAAGCTAGTTGACCATATGTTTCATTTTCATAAAACGATTTTTATTTGGCAAATATTAGCATTGCCTTAGAATAAAATAGAGAGATTTGACGTCATAATATGGAGGGCAAATAATTTTTGTAAGATTGTCAATTACCCTACTTCCGTGTGGGAGGAAGTCTCATTAAATCCGTGTATGAGTGTATTATTATTTCTACTACTATACATTTCTATTTAAATTAAAACACCTGAAAATTTATATTTGTTATTACCTCTCCAATTTTCTGCACTTTAATCGGTCCATTAAAGTAAGTGATTAAGAAAATTTGGCTGTCACTCTAGCCAACCTAACTCCGCCCATAAGCGCAGTTTTTTATTAGATATGGGCATTCTCACTGTTTTCCAATAACCATTACATAACCGATATCAAGTTTAGATATCGATATTGAGAACCGTTTTCAGGTATCGATATCCAGGAATTATTGATGGCAACTTAAAAATCCAAACCTGAATTCGAATCTATACAATGTCTTCACTAAATAACGTGAATTCTGACACAAGGGTGAATTCACTTCAAAAAGCGGCTTCCGCTCAACCTATACTCTACTCATTATAGCATTAGACAGAAGTTAAATAAGGATCTTTTTGTGGTATACTTTGTGACAAAATATTAATAATCATGTTACTTTTAAGACTGACGGCTAATTTGCTACATATCCACTAAAATACCAGCTGCTATACTTAACTGTTGTCATTTAAGCTATATATTAAACAAATATATGAGTATATGACTAACTTAAATGATTTAATAACTATTACAATAAAAAGTGTTCATCGTAAAGAACCTAAAGAAGCAGGGTTGGATAGTTTCGGCACGATTCTCATGTCACTATAACTCTACCAAATTTAAAACGTTGCCTAACCCCTTCAAACGTTTCGGCAGTACAGCTTTTTAATTTTGTCAGACTATTATTTATTCATAATTGTTAAAATCGTAATTTGGGATTGTCATCCATTGTGAATGCTACTTTCTTGTTGTTTTGCCGTTTTCCGTGATTAATTTGTTATTGTTTTATTTTTGTTGTTAAGTTTTGTTAAATATGGACGATGCCGGTGCAGGCCCGAGTGGCCTACAAAAATTACGCTCTAAGCCCCCATACCTTTGACATTTTAGGAAGTTTTTCCAATGTCTTCATCAATAGTCTAACTAATTACACTTACAATTAGAATTTATCAAAACAACAGTCAGATAGATATTTCAGTATTAGTTCCATGTTGGCTAGGGACTAAAAGATGAATTTATAAAATGCTGGCCTCATCTCAACTCCGAGGTATCATAAAAAATGGAAAATTGCCCAGCTCTTTCAGACTACCTAACGTTCAAAGTTTCAGCAAAACTAATATAGATTTTTTAAATTTATCTTGAAAATAAAATGTTCTGCACTGCTGCTTCTATGACCCTCTTTTTTCTAATGTTATAATGAATGGAGTATAGAATTGCTAATACTCGTAAAGTTTCGTGACATAAGTGAAGATAATTTCGAAATGACATAGCAATAGAATATCTGAGACATGTATATTCAATCAATTTTGTTTTGTGTATTTGTACATAAAATGGAATCAATAAATTTTTTTTACACCAAAGGGCGTGAATTCGAATTCGAGTTTGGATTTTTACTGAATCGCAGGGCTGACGGTTATGTGGATATGATATTAACTTCATTTCTTTTGCATCTCGGACTTGTGCTTACACTAGAATGAAAAGGGTCTAATATCGTGTGTCGGTTACATTCTTAAATAGACCTTACTGATATGAAATTAAAGTTTATTTAATTTGATTTTAGATTCGAGCGTTCTGTTAAACAGGATAGCCAAAAAGGCTTTAAAAAAAAACGAATATCTCACTCGCGACGGTTTATCTATGAATATATGCGAGGATTAAGGGATAGACAAGCCTAGACAAGCGCTCTGGATGGGTATTGAAATCAGACTGATTTAATAATTAAGTGCTACTAATGAAGCTCTGAGAAGAGACTGCTGACTAGGCTTAGCAGTTGCTATAAGTCTAACTACAGAAGGGTATAACAGTTCGCTTTATCTCTTTTTGCCTTACTTAATAGGAGGGGGGGATATCAAGTCAATACGTTTCAGATACGATACAGTTTTGTAGATTTGTGTCGAAAATCGAACTATGCCTACTTTATATTATAGAGTTTTCACCGGCTTCGGGGAGTGTTGATGGATTGCCTACGTTATTAAAAAAACTTCTTACATATAACTTCTAGTAAGGGCCATTGAATCTATTCCTCAATTTTAGAATTATGACTTAATAATCTGGAGATAATCCAAAACTACGGAACGCTTAAAATAGACAATCTCCACGCTGAACGGAAACTAAATATATATAGAAATTAATTTACTAAATAGAAAGTCCAAAATCCTTATGACATTTCGCTTGTAATACCTATTAATATCATTTTTAGATTTCCGTATCCAAAGGGTAAAACGGGAACCTTATAAGAAGTCTTATAAGGTACCCGTTTTACCCTTTGGTAAAACGGGAAAAACGGAAAAAGAAAAACGGGATTCAAAGGGTAAAACGGGAACTTCTTATAAGGTTCCCGTTTTACTATCCTGCTCTTGCTGTCTGTATTTTCTGCAGTGGATAATTTTTGTTTTATTTTATCATGAACTGTGAAAACATGCCCCATCTTAGCCTAAACTGTAAGAAATGTGAAGCTAGTTTTTCTTATGGTTCCGCACCCAAAGGGTAAGAACGAGACCCTGAGACTCTGCTATACGTTGGTCACCAGGCTGTATTCTCATGAAGCGTCACAGCTAGACAGTTGAAATTTTCACAGATTATATATTTCTGTTGCCGCATCAACAAAATATACTAAAAACTAGAATCAAATAAAAATTTAAGGGGGCACCTATAAAATAAACATACGGAGCCCTTCGTATCTTAACTATAATAAAATTATGTATTTTTCTGACTCGGGTTCATCATGATGATGAATAAATATTATTTCTAAGACTGTTTTATATATTGAGCTCAAAATCTATTATCTCTATTGGAAATGAACTTAATAATAAATCGAGTTTTTATTCTTAATGCAAAGTGCTTAAAAATCCACGTGGTCCCTGGCACCCTGAGATGGGAACGACCTTCCGCAATCTGGGCGACTGCTCTGCTACCCAGGACCTAACAGGACTGACGAATCCCATCTCAGGGTGCCAGGGACCAAGTGGATTTTTTAAACATTTTGTATCAAGAATATTTTCCAGTATGGCATTGTGGATGCAAAATTAATCAAAATATAATAATCGAGTTTTTGTATATATATTCCTTTTTAAAGCTTTTATTGCTATGTATGTATGTTTGTTCTGGTGAAATCTTTGATCTAAATTTTGTAGTAAATATCTTCAACCGATTGAGCTTGACCGATTTTTAATACAAGTACAGTTTGGATGACAATGCGTGATAATAAGGTATGTGAGGTCATTCTAAATCTAATATGGCGTACCATTAAAGATGGCGGAATAGTTATTTTTAATCCACTTCTACAATATAGGTATCAAATGAAAGGGCTTGTTCAGAGTAACTCAAAAAGAATGTGACGTCATTTTAAATCCAATATGGCGGAATATGCAAGATGGCGGAATAGTTATTATTTATGCACTTCTGCAATGTGGATATCAAATTAATAGGCATGCCGAGAATAATTAGAAAATGAATGTGACATCACTCTAAATCTAATATGGCGCACTATTCAAGTTTTTATGCTTTAAAAAAATTTACGAAATCAAACGGCAAATGACAAAGTAAATCGCGCGACAAGCTTTTATGATCATACAAATTGTGTATTTTTATTTTAATCTTTTTAGATCGTTTAAATAAAAGTTTTTTTTAAAGTTTTTGTTTTTTATTAACACATCGCTAAAACTTCAAATACAAACCGTCACCATACCCGTGCTATGTGAAAAAAGCCTATAGTCAAAACTTAACTCACCAGATTTCACGATCTCCGACATTGTCTCGAAGTCTAGCACAGATGTGATGGGCAACATGTACACGTCTTCCAGTTTGGTCATCACATCAGATACAGTCTTCTTACGGAGCTCCAGGGCCCCAGATATTATATTCACCTCGTCTTTGTCCAAATCGTTCACATCTGTTGTAACCTAAATCACAGATCTACTATTTAAAAAGTGCCACATTTTTTTTATTGCAGACTCGTTTTGTTTTGTGTGTATGTTATTTCATTGGAATAGCTCAATTATTAAATATCTCTGTATCTTTGCCCAAGAAGTTTTCGCAAATTAGACATCGGATGCAGTGATTCTTTTTTGTTTGATTAATTAGCTTACAACGAGGGTTGCCAAACTTATTTCGTCTACTGCTCACTTTGAGAATAAATAATTTTTTAGCGTTTTACCTTCTTTATACTTCAAATTAAATAAATTATTGTAAGTTATTATATAAATAACAGTAATTAATATAATTATTATATTAGCATTCTTTTTAAATTAGACTTTTACTATAACCCGCAATAGTTAACTTGAGACCTAAGCGCAGTAGGTAGTACACAAGTCTCCACTTAACTCTTCCTAAGCCTCTACACTACGCCTTCATTTTTATCTAGGTCACTTATCGCCCCCATTTAGGCCTGCAGCGCCCACAAAGGGGTGTTATCGCACACTTTGGGAAAGGCTGACTTACAACCTAAGGTACAGCACAAGTTTCACCCAATTATTATTAATTTTATTTGAAGACGATATTCAAAATATTTTGTGAAGTAAATCCACTCTTGTAATCCACACAGCGACACCCATAACAGTGAAAATGTATTGTATATTATATTACCTTGACCAGCTCTTTCAGTCGCTCCCTGTTGTAGACGCTACCAATCTCTTCGCCAAGGAAATAATCCAGCAATTTGCTCACAGGAAACGCTAAGGGAGCCGTCAGAGCCATCACCGCCTGTTAACAGTAAAAAAAAACGCCGGCATATCAGGCATATTTACAGTGAATGCCGAAATAAACATTTAACAAGATGATATGATCAAGTCCTTAAAAAAGAAAACTATTTAGTCAGTCAATAGAATAATAGAAAAATATTAGATACGTATTTTTATTGCTTCTATTTAACAAGAACTACCTTGGATAATAGCATTAAAGTTGAGGAGTGAGGGCATGCATGCTACGTCACAGCTTTGTAGAAAATGTACAAAGGTGTGACGACATGCGACATTTTAGCTCAATGTATCGCCGTAATTTACCGATTACGCAAATAAAAAGTAAAAAAGGTGTATACTGCAATAATCTAACTGACGGACAAACAAAAAATTTTCAGTATCCCTATTACAAAGTTGACCGAACACATGATGTAGTCATATTTCAAGTACCATAAGGTATAAAATACATTTTCCGTCACACTCGGAGTGTGTGAGGCGCGCTACTTGAGTTATTCTGATCGTTCGACATTTGCCGCGTTTGTAAATGTAATGTTCTGCACAGGTACATCATATACTAGTTGTTTTACTCTACATATCCTAGTAAAGCTTCCAAACATAACGATACCATTCTTACCTTCGTGATCATAATACTTTTAGCTCCAACCATCAGCCCGTGCCTGGAGCATATCGCTTGGGGTGTAATTTCACCCAAGAGCACAATAGCCAGCGTAGAGAATATCACAGCGAACAATCCAGATGTCAACTCGTCAAGTAGAATAGTGAACGTGGAATTGACAGCTACATTCCCCAACAGAATGCTGCACAGGAGATAATTGCCGTGATCCCTGACAGGCATTATAGCTCTGGCGTACTTCCTCTCCTGCTCAGTGCCCGTATTTGATATGATCTTCAATTCTGTTCTGTCTAAAGACATCAGCCCAAGATTTAAGCCAGAGAAGAGGGCAGAGAACATTAGGCATATCAGTATGAGAATAAGTGACACCCAGAGTGGCAGCAACGATGTGTGACTGGCTAGGATCTTGAAGTTCTCCTCGCCCTGGTGGGTGTACTTGTCCTCGTCTTTCGATATATCTGTGACGCCGGGTTTGAGATTCTTCGCGCATATGTACAGCTTAGGTCCAGTTATTGGATGGGGTGCTATTATATCGAATAGGGCTGACTTTCTCGTTACGGAGCCTTCTTTCGCCTGTGGGTGGAAAGTTACTGAAGGTTGAATATTTTATTTAAAAGACGATAAATATGGAACGAGAATTGAGCTTGATGATACTGCGAAGTAATACTTTAGTACCTTTCGCAAAGGCCGGTCATAGGTTTGGTGTCCAAAAACTGATTATCTAGAGCTCATCCGTGTTTTGGAAGACACGTGAAGCTGTTGGTCCAGATTGCATCTGCAGTTGATAACACTCAATGGGCATTATGCACAAGGCCCGCGTGGGTCATCCCTATTCGATTGCCTATGCCTACGAATGTTTAATAAACTCACCATGTATTCCCCTTTGAGTATAAACTTGCATTGTTGTCCGAATTCTTGAGGATAGTTTGTGAACGCTATCACTGTCCTCGGGGTCAAACCTTCGCCGAACAATCTATAAGTACAATCATTATAAAAATAGAAACACCAGAATTTTTTTAATCAAAATTGGATCAATAATATCTCATCGCCCTACATATTGCTAATTGCGACTGCTAAAAACAAATTGACAATGACAGACAACAAGATGTGAAATTGCGACATGTTGACTTATTTCGGTCAGATAAGTTTACGGTCCAGAAGTATTATTGTTGATAAAAAATATGAGTTGTCTGACTATCTATGAAATATATTTTGAACCAACCTCGAATTAGATCAACTGGGAAAAGAAGCAATCGCGCCTAAAGATACTATCATGTTCCATGGTAATTACCTACCTTAATGTAACAGATGAATCCGCTAAAACACTTGGCACGCCATTCTCAATTATCTTCGGTTCTTTATCTGCATCTTCTATCCTCAACCCCTCAACTACCACCATTTCCTGGACGGGTCTGACGCTCATAAAATCATTCTCGTTAGTTTGCCTTTCGTACCTTAACGTAATAACATCGTGACCATTATGAACTTTATTTTCAGATGTAGAAAAGTCTTTGTTGTTAATTTCGCGTCTTTTTCTTCTCAGTAAACCGTTATTAACGTCAATTCTACGATTATCATTATTTAAATCTACATTATTGGCAGATTTAAGTTTGTCGTTGTACGAAAAATTTGGATTATCTATTACTTGTATATCATCGGCATCATTATCATTGTCATTACCATCGTCAAGTTTATTTAACGGAACGAATTTATCATTAACACGAGTTTCTATATCACCGGTCTCATCTTTGGTCGGTCTGTTGACTTTAGGGAGATTGTTCACGTGGATATCATGAGATAAATCGATCCACACTTTGCTCTCTTGTTGGGCATTTGTAAGTTCTGTTGTCGATCTGTGAACAAATATATGTGTTGACAAATGCACACTGTTTATTAACATCTTTCAGTACTATTCATCGCTATGTACTGAAAGATGTTAATAGAGTTTGCAAAATAATCCCCCATAAATCAGCTCTTGCGAAACGCTAACACTACTTTATTACGAGTAGTTCATTTCTATATATTTCTGCTAATAGAGCGACTAACGTCTATACTCTGCCCCTCAGCAGATGCAAGGATTTAATTTAAAATTGGCTGCTGAAATTAAATTTCAACCAAACAGAATTTCAGCTGTAGGAAGGGACTAGCTTCAGTCACTCAATTGATCCTCATTCTTACATCGGCTTGTTACTGCATACGCTATTTTACCAGCATACATGATGCGGTTGTGGACACCAAGTACTATTAGAATTATCTAAAATCGCTAAATCAAAATCAAAATTTATTTATTCAGTTTAGGCTTTTACAGAGCACTTGTGAAAGTCGAAAACTACGGCATCGGTTCGCAAAACTACGGCGGGAGACCTTGTACTGAGAAGAACCGGCAAGAAACTCAGCAAGGGCTGTTTTTTTCTCCCTGTTTTATTTCACACAGAGAAGTCTTATTGAAAAGTGACTTCATTAGAATATGAAGTCACTTTCCATTACATTATTAGAAAGTAAATACAAACAAGTTAAAATATCTAACACCATGCCTTTTTGTCATTTAGATATTCCAACGGTATAATACCCTTTACTTTGTAGACAATTTTTTAAATGACTTTTAAAATGATTTATTGGCAAATCTAATACATCACTGGGGATCTTATTAAAGTATTGTATACTATATGCTATACATTTCAAGTATACTGCCAAAGTAATAACAAACGAAGAAACTTTATGATATTGAACAACTCTATAATACTTGACCATTATTTTTTTATGAATACTAATGCAAACTTTGCTGTAAATTTTATGGGATTCTGCGCAGCCGCCAAAGCGATGAGCGAGAAGCGATTTTGTAATGGATGGCACATAGCGGAAAATGAGTGGGCCAACGTCTTAGGCTAGTGCTTCGGCTTCAGCCCTCCCTCTGGTGGTAATTTTTCAGAAAAGTGCGAAACCACTGCCATTACTAGGTAACTAATAATAATAGGGTTTGTTTTAGATCTAGGGTGCCCTCTCCATGAGGCCTTGCTTTGCCTGTATATTTATTAAATGTTTCCTCAGGAATATAATGTACTCATGGGAACGAAACGAATTGATATATCGATCAAATATGTTTGCAAATATTCAACTCCGAGAAAATAGATCTTGATAAACATATTATTTTTACAAACAAATAAAAATATTACTTTACATTCAGCAGCCATATTTTTAAAGGCACAGATGTTGTTTTCCTTTTCATAACATAATAACCATTCCATAGTCCATAAAACTGTCTATGTGAACAAGATGACGTCACATTGTGATATACTTGGGCCGATGCCAGGTATGTCATTCATGTAGGGCTGTCGCGAGATAGTTTTAGGAGCCGTTAGTAAATCATAATCCGTTATTTTGCTTTCGTATTATATCTATATCTTGATAGACTTAAATCAAGTGATTTTAATGAGTAAAAAAGACGAATGAAATAGATCGATTAACAGGAATTTGTCTTCAAGATGAATATAAAACTCGCTGAATATAAAAATATAATACTCACCACCCCTGATCCATGGGTTACAAAATAAACTATCAACGAACTTAGAATAGCCCAGAGAGGAATCGAAAAGCATCAAAATTTACTATTATTTTTTTCTAATATAAGTGCTATTATGAAAAGTCAATAGCGCTTCATCTCCAGCTTTATGACACAGTTATTATTATATCACAAATAATAAATATATCTGTCCATTATTTGTGAGGCAAACATTGCATTTATAATATTGGACTTCAGGTAGAAAGTACCTACATTGGCAAAATGCAGGAAAAAAAAAAGATACAATTATTACTTAAAAAATTAAAGCATTGCGATCCAGCTGGTGGGAAATAAAACTAAAAAATATAGAAGGCCTACACGCATGCAGTAGAAATGACTGAGAAGAAGAAATATTGTATCTTAGATTTATATAATGTCAATTGAAGGTATGTTTATTTGCATGACCTCCCTAGTCGAGTAACTCACACGTCGGTTTTAAGTTGTTGCCATCTCTGAGGTCCTTGGACCGATTTGGGATTCGAGCAATGTATACAGATGGAGCTTGATGGCCCAGCGGTTAGCGCGCTCGGTCTGCGATACGGTTTTTAATCGCCGTTCGCAAAAGCCGGCCAAAGTATGGGTGATCAAAAATTTATTATCTCGAGCCATTCAGTGTTTCGGGAGGCACGTCAAGCAGGTCCCGGTTGCATCTGCGTTCGTTAACACCCACTAATCCGCCCTCGGCCCACGTGGTGAGTCAAGGCCCATTATCTCTCCCTTTTCGATTTGTGTCGATTCCATGCACATGGAAGACCTGAGCCCCAGTAATGGGAACATTAATAGGCTAATTGACCTCTGTTGATTTTTCTCTTTCATTTTATGAATGAACAAGATTATAAATTTCATTTTACATTAAAAATAAAGCTAAATTTTTGCCTAATAACTAAAAAAATATAATTACATTTCAATATGGTGACAACCCTAATTTCAACTAAAAGCTTACATAACGATAGGCGCGCGCAAACGTGACGAACGGGAAAGTAATGATCTCGAGCATATTGTTTTTTACTATCTATCTATCTATAGTTGTCATCATTAGAACTGAACTCAAAAAGGCAGTGTTCCTCTTTACAAAATATCGTTAGTTAGTTTAGGCGTGAAAACGTCATATACAGGGTTATATTGCATTATAATGTTACTAGCTGGAGGCTACTCTTTGTCTACGAACGAAAAATACACAATTTTCGAATCATTCTTACATTTTTTTTTAAATCACATGCGTCTATATTATCTTTGCATCAGAAGCACTATCAAGGTCCTACCTCCGTTTCATTATTAATTATCGAAAAATGTGTTCCTTTAGAGTTGTATTAGTTTCGAAAATAAACGAATTTTGGTTTTCAGAGAAACAGATAAGGCATTCTGTTTTCTCGCAACGTCGTTCGCGCATATATGGTGTCATCAACATATGGGGCAGCTTCTAGTATGTGAAATTTTTTTTTTAATCAGTACAGTATAGTTTCTTATCGCAGCCTTTTCGACTCAAACAAACAATACATTTTTTTCTCTTATCTATTATCTCTATTCTAAAGATAATATTATTCTTCGTTGGCGTAACATGTAACATATTGACACGTAACACGTAACAAACACGTAAATTGCAACTTTTCTCTTTAGGGTAGACAGGGCACTTTCTGTAGTATAGTAAAAAAAATGGTATCGAACTTATACACCCGGTTTCTGAATTGAGGATTTAAAGTTGTCCACGTCTCAAACCGTACTTAAGCCATTTCAAATGTCACTTAAACAGTTTTTCGTTTCTGTTTTTTTTTTATGATCATTCAATAGCAATTGGATTAAAATAGGACTATTTGCCATGTTAAACGTAAAAATTTTAAGTTATCGAGGATAATCAGTTGAGATTTTTACTTCTCTCAATTCAGAAACCGGCCGAAAGTTTCCGACTTTCAGGGTGCATTCTTCGAAAATACTGATCCGATTATGAAAATTCTTTAGGAAAATTCTTACTGATTAGTAATTTATAGTAGAATAATTATTTATATAATAGTTTATATATTTAAAAAATAAACAACAATTTCAATGAATTAAGAGCTGTAAATAACAATTATACTATAATTATTAGCAATTTATAGTTACAACTTCATTGAAATTCTCATCTATTTAGTTATGCCATTTTCTGCCTAAGTCGCGGGGAGACAGCTAGTGTTGGAATAAATATAGATTTCTGCTTTCGGCTCATAAAGCCTCATCATTATTTTATTAAATTGAAATTAGTTTTTAACTTTCGTATATCGTGAAACATGCCTCTCGCCAATGTGACGTCATATTGGCAAAAACAAGATGCCTATTTCTAAGCAAAAATATTTGTATCTACATTTGTCAGACCAGCTGTAAACATTTACCTATATCTATCTATTTTGTAAAAAACTCGATAGATAATACCATTAATGGTGTCGGATTATTGTCTTTTCATCTATGCGTCCATTTTGTTTCAATATTAAATAAATAAGCAAAAATTGTTTTAACAATTTGAAATGCGAATTATTTGTAACGTTGTTCTATTTAATGATAAAACAGTAAATTAATGTTTACGTGTCTCCGTATTAATTATGAATTGTTTATCATTATTTACAAACTGCAAATAAATTAAAATAAATAATAATCTTAAAACTATGTTAATTTTTAATGAAAACTTAATAACTACTAAAGAATAAATAATTATACGTTAAAAAAAAAATACTTAAAACCTAACTATATACAAATTAAATATTTACAAACAAACAGATCGCACGCAGATGTAATATATACAGGAATAATTTAAAACCACTGCGAAGATTTTGTGAAAATAAACTTTAAGTAATTTAAATAAACACGTATTTTTTATTTTGATATGTTCTAATACTAAAAAATAAAGTTATCGCTTATCAAAGATCGAGATTTTAAAACTTAGTTTATGGACACCGCGCGCCGTGCGTCAGCTGAGCGCTCGCTCGACGCCGCCGTAGGCATGTACTCGTAGGTACCTATCTACACGGGTCACTGAACGCTCATTTTGTTAGATTCGAACTAGATTTTATGCCATGATCTGAGGTGATTTCTAAGAGTAATTCCAATTTTCCCTTCATACTTTTATGGTTAAGGCCATCAAAATGCAAAAAAATAAAAGAGAAACAAATTCGTTACCTAGAAAAAAATATTAACGTTATGCCGAAGTTACATAGGTACTTCTGCGTTAAGGCGTATTTAAAAAAATTAGAATCAACTACGTATTTACAATAATGTTGAATCAAAACAAATACCTAACTAATTACTTACCATGTATTTTAATATTTG